GCTACTGTGTTTATAACCTAGTTATGAATTGCATGCACGTGCAAATTAATTCGCGGGACAGAAAACGCGGTAACGTGTAAATGCATAAAATTTCATTTAAAATCATTACTTCCGGTTTGATTTTTTTAAAGACTCTCTTCGCCTTAATCGTATCGTAAATATAGATAAATATTTGTGTTAAATGAACGTCATTCCTACAATGATTTATCTAATGCACGTGCTAACCCTGCATAGTGTTGATAAAGAGCGGCTCGAATTATTACAACATTTGTATATAATATATATTATTGTACTGAAAATCAATCGGGAGAATGATCGCAATTAAATTCATTTCTTTGAAGATATGAAGGTATACTCGGATGCTTTGAGTGCAACTCAGTATTCACATCCTGCACGTGCGCTTGACTGTTTGAAGCTCGGGAGAAAAGTACATATAATTTCACGTTTAATTCTGCATAAAACGGCTGCGAGACTGCCGGTCTTCAAAATATCAAAATTACGCATAATGTTAATTTAAAATAATTACATCATGGAAACAATTTATTATTTAATACCAAGGCGTTTGTAGCACGTTTAGATACCGTCTTTGATTGCAGTAAATCATTAGAGTTGTTTATAATTTCTGAGACATTTTACTAAGGCACTAATAACCGATGGATAAACTTGAGATAAGCATATTTATCAGCCAATCAAAATACATATAAATTTCATACAACATCTAACATATGCAAAAACAGCAACAACATAAACATCAAAAACAACAACATCAATAGTATCAGCAATTACAGCATCATTATCATCAACAACAGTAGTCGATATGATATATAGAATGATGTGATGTGGTTGATTGTATAATGTGATCTAATGTGATGTGATATTATATGATGTGCATGATGTGATGTGATGTGATGTGATGTGATGATAGGATAGGATAGAATAGGGTAGGGTAGGATAGGATAGGATAGGATAGGATAGGATAGGATAGGATAGGATAGGATAGGATAGGATGGGATAGGATACGATACGATACGATACGATACGATACGATACGATACGATAGTATAGGATAGGATAGGATAGGATAGGATAGGATAGGATAGGATATACAAAATCTTTCAAAGATGATATACAAAATCTTTCAAAGAGTTTGTATTTTGCTTATAAAAAAGAATATATGGATGATGTAATATCATATTTAATCATTTAATCTTTGTGCAACCTGCTATTTCCTTAATAATATAAGACCTTTCCGGAAATAGTATTGTTATTTTTCATGCCATATTTGATCTCATTTTCATAAAATCTGTATATATGTTTTTGCTATAAGCACTGTAGTATTATTTTATTTGCAATAAAGTTTTTTGTATTATATTGATAAAAAGTTATTATGCTCCTTAAAATAGCACTATACTATAAATATTTATTTCATTATTGTAGCTTTTGGTATAATTATAATTGTAATTGGTATAAAAGTAAACAAAATGTCTAAAACTGATATCTAACTGGTATATACAAATTCAAATTGGAATCACTTTCGGTTATTTCAAATTCATTCCTTGATATTCCTTAATGTAAAATATGCCATAAGTTTTCTTATTTACGGCCTATTTATCTTGTTCTCATTACATAGATTAGAAATTCGTCAGAAACTGCATGTTTAAACTGCGGAAACATTTGAAGTCAACATGCAACAAAGGTGGTGAGGTTCAAATTTTATTTTTCGTAAATTAAAAAAAAAATCAAAATATTCACTCTCACATCAAAATTCATTAACACACATAAAAATGGTTTTGACAATATCCGCCATTTACTATGAATAGTAAATATCTTTTAATCACCCGCTTCAAGTGTTAATATTTTCAGTGTGTGTACTCCATAAGTATGACTACCTCACAGAAGTATTAAAGAAACCATCTTTGTGCGATTCATACACTGTGAAATGCGTGTAATCCGATCGCGCTTTGATCTTTTCTTAAGTTTTTTGTCCTTTGGTCTCATTTCCCAATTCATGCGGCTTTTCACTTGGCTGTTAAGCTGTAAAAAAGGTTTCACCATGAATTCTTAGACATTCTATGAATGGGCATAAAGGACCGCGTTCAAAGATATTTTACGCCTGTGTGAAAATTGATTCTAAAGTTTAGTGGTTACTTTATTAATTTGACGATGATCAAGTCGATTTTATTACCTCCAAATTGCTATCATTTACAGTCGTATTAGCTGTTTGATGCCCAATGACAAAGATGTAGTTAAATATAGCTCAACATTATAAATGTGTTTTCAAATACGGCGCGTTTGTGGAATGAGAAAACAGATTTTAAGAAAACACTTTTATTTTTCTTAAAGCACCTGATGCATGTTATATTAAACAATTCATAGCGGTCTTTATAAAGTTGATTTTCCGTTAAGATTTATTTTAGAATAGTTGCGGTTTCATCACTTTTTTAATTTAATGTGATAGGTACATAAAGATATATTTAAAATGACGTGAAATCATATAAAATCATATAAAATGACTTTTATGTGGCCATTGCATTATTTACGATATGTTATCGTACTGAATTATCAAAATCTCTTTTAAATTCATATGATTTTGATCTTGATTTAAATTTGTAGACAATTAAATAAATAAAATTTTACGTTATCAAAACGTTATTGCGATAAACAATGTATATGTACTCTTTTCCAAAAAAGGGGGGACGGCTAATCTATGAATATATGTTCATGAGAAGAATTTTGAAAAAAAAAATCTGTAATGCACAAAATTAAAGATGACTGAAATAAAATCGTGTTGTGTCCATCACATTCTCTTACCCATATTCCTTCTCACAAATATATCTACGCCCAAGTACCTAATAAAAGGATTATTATATCATACATAAAAATATATATTTCAATATTTTTAATTCTCCTAATTCTCTGTGACACGGAAAATACTTGAAAGTTAAGTCTTACATTATAAGAATTAAATTAATCCATATAAAATATATATTTACCATTAAAAATTAAGATAATTTATATCCAATATATATAAATGGCCAAGTTATGGTATGTGACGCGTTAAATTATTATGAAAGCATAATGGGCCTTTAAATTGCAGGCACCGGAAGTAAATAAAAAAAAAATGACCAGCCGGCATATATCCATGCTCTATACTTCTGTTGGCAATTCATTATTAATAGTTTGTCTCTTGTCTATGAAATTCCATAAAAATTTAAATGGATTTTTCCAAATACAAAGCAGGGTAATTCGATTTAACAAATTTAACAGGTTAGAGTTTATATATATTACAGGTACATGCGGTCAAGTTATCTATAATAGATTATAAGACAGTAGGTTAAGATTTGCCTCCCTTTACAGGAACCGTGCGCAAGAAGATATCAAATACTAATTATTCCTTTCATAGTGTACGAAAAACCAAACCAAACGGGGTATTACAGAGTTATTATTAAACGTATTGCTAAGGAAACAACTTGAAAACATTCCTTAATGTTGATATTAAATATACGATACAGGAATCAGTATTAATTTCGATAATAAAAAGTCCTGGAATTGTTTTATATATTTAATTTCACTGAAGACAAGTGATTTTCTTTAGAAACTCTCCTCTTCGGGGGAAGTTTTGTAATAAGCCTGCTCATCACATGGCACATCAATCTATAACTGGCAATAAGTCTAATTCCGAACAAATATGCTTGTATTGAATATTTCTGACAGTAAAGTCAATTGTAAACCTGACCTTTATAGTTAAATGCCCTGTACGGAAGTTCTCCTTACCTCCTCTTCTACAACCCCCACCCATTCACCGACTTATCGATAACAGTGATTATAATTTATTCGTTAACTTTCATTGCAACTGTGGCTTGCATAAGCCTAGTACGAGTCCGGATCAGGGCTAGCCTGTTAACAGCACTACTAAGTGCACTTTGTCTTTATATTGTAACACTGGCTCCCTACATTTATAAATTAATACTGCCAAATTCAAAAATGGGACGAGTCCATTACTCAAATTTAGTAGGGGTGTAAGAAAAAAATGTAAAACTTTAGTACGCTAGCTGGTTATGTGTACGCCTTAAAGATTTCGATAAACTTTTCATTCATAATTACCACATCACCCGTCTAATAAATTTAATTTTTACATTAATAAAATACATCAAATGTATGATTTTTTACGCGCTATTAACTGTGATGTAATAAATGATATTTGAGAAATAACTATAATTTTCGCTCAACTAATTAAAGAAATAAAATTGAAACTCTAAAGTTTCCACCCGTTTCTATCAGATCGCAAAATTGAATTGGCCCTTTCTTAAACTAAAAGATATGATGTTTGAAAATGAAATGATAGATAAACCTGCGTTATTCAGCAGTTTTTTTTTTGCACTCTAATTATATATAGAAATAAATGCAGCGTTTTTCTCATAAATTTGTAAACGGTAATTCAGAACTGAAAGTGTTTTTTACTTCTTTTTTAATTCAATACAATTATTTATTCAATCAAAATTGAAAAAAAAAACTTTTTGCAGACGACAAACACAAATTGTAGCTGATTTTTTTAGTCTATTTAAGTGGAAACAGCTGCACTATGCATTGCCCTCGTTGGCCATTTTAATAATAATATTCTCGTAAAGGTATCAGTTAAAGCAGCGTGTCTCCAGGTTTATGTAAAAAGTAAAAAGAAAACATATGAATAAAACCCTAGTCAGTTGTTCATATTAAGTGTTTCAACATTGCTTTAAGCATCTACAGGAATTCTTGATCTTGTCAAAATACATGATTATATGCAGGAGCATTCGACCACGTGTATAAAGCGACCTTGACCCTTTTCAACAGCTACCATTTTTATCAAGTTCCATTTTTTTTACTGTGACTACGCAAACAACAACTGTATCCAACTAAAATGTTAGGAAATTTATTACCAGCACGTGAAAAATTATTTGCTTGAGTCAACGTGTACATTCATTATAGATAAACGTTTGACATTTTATTTCATTTTGTTTCAGGTACACGAGAAACGGCGTTCATTTACGCCATTTTGAGTGCTGGAGTGGTACACGCAACAACGAAATCTTGTAGCGCGGGAAATTTAACTGAGTGTTCTTGTGATATGGCTCATTATGGGGAGCATGACGTCGACGGCTGGAAGTGGGGTGGTTGTAGTGACAATATACAGTATGGTCTGTGGTTCAGTAAGACTTTTGTGGACGCCCCTGAAGTTATGACTCAAGAAAGTGGAAGAAACATAAGAAATACAATGAATCTGCATAATAACGAAGCAGGTAGAAAAGTAAGTAAAGCATTGTAATACAAGGTGGTCTATGCGACACGTATGTGAAGAAGAATTCATGCAAATGAAGCAGTGTAAAGAATATTTACAGACTTACACTCTGGCGGTTTACGATCGTAAATTGGTCGTAGAAATGATAAAATAACGCATTCGTCTCAGTCTGCAGTTTCTATTTAACGATTCGTCCCACTCATGATTCGTGCCATAAAGTAATGATTAGTCTCCACTTATGTTACTATAGATTTATGACGAATACGAAACAAAAGTAGGGTAAATCGATGATATTACATGAATACGTTATAGACAAATCGATATTTTACCTAACAAAATCTATATATATATTTCTTATATATATAAACAGTTGATATAATAAACAATTAATTTCTTATATCTTATAAATAATACTTTCTTTACAAATAATTAAAATTCAACCTTAAAACACTGGTCACATTGTACCCTATAAACAAATGATATATTACATCATTACCTAAGTAAAATCGATAACAAATTTATATAATAAATCATAAACAATCGATATCTTGTGGACTGATCATTGCCAATGGTAAATAATGCCTTGTCATGGGAACATTGTTACATGTATTCATAAAACTTTCTCATAGTTTGAATAGATATGAATAAATATGGCATACGTCAAATTTGATATAAAAATGAAATATTTTTAATGATAATGTCACTTTTGTATGTTTAGGAATATTCTTCGATTGGGTATTTATGAAGTTGCAGAGTGATGAAATATAACTGCAAAATAATAATAATAATAATAATAATAATAATAATAATAGAAGTAATAGTAATAATAATGATAATAAACATTCCTATAAGATGCAAACTGGAGATTTCAAATGAGGTAAATTGAAAATTAAGGTACATTATTATGTAATAGTTTTTTCTCTTTATCTAATTTAACGGGTGCATTTGAATACATTTAAATACATGACAACGTTTATAACAAAATAACAAAAATACCCAAGGATTCATTAGAATTTCTAAACCCAGTCACTAAACAGTTCAACAGGATTGGGGATGGTGTAAAAATACAAGTATAACTTCATGACTAAGAAAATAATCATCCTTTATTAAAATCTCGAAAAATGTAAAATGAATAATTTTGGTCAAATTATGTTAAAAAAATACTGCACTTAGAATCAAGTTGTTTAGATAAACTAGTGACTAATGTTTGAAATTATTAATACAAAATTGTTATTTAAATTTTTAAATATTTTCAAGAATAATCAACAAGCTGTTTAAACATTACACATACTTTTCTGAATAAAAAAAATGTCTGAACAACAAATAACTGGTATGCAGATTTTTTTTCTTTCGGGGAAAAAATGTTTTGCGAAAGGAGGGCTGGTTTTTTTAAGTTTGCTAATTTGCGAACAAAAGTTAGAACATGACGGCTAAGCTCATTATGCGACGAGATGACTGATTTTGGTTTAATTAGAATGCATTATGCATCATGTGAACGCAGGTGTGCATTAGCACAAACCATACCTATAAATTTTAATAGAATTTAAATGAAAAAATATTTGCACATATATTCATCAATTACACTTAAATTTATTACTATACGACGAAAGAAGTCCCTACCTTTGTGACTTTATAAATGTATCATTTACATCAATTTATTGAAAATAAAGAATTTAATGACCACTAAATGTTCTGATAATTGTACGTATTTATTAATAAATTTCAAATGGATAGCACAAAAAAATCTATCATTGTGTAGATTTAACAGTTATGATCACTATAAAATTGTACAGGTGTTTTTCCGCGGGTGTTTAAAAAATATTTCCTTAATCTTGAAAATGATATATATCATTGAAACGTACATAACTGACATAATCTTTACATCTAAGTTGGTTATTCGCATTAATTTCAAATTAACCAAGCATCAACATATCATCAATATATACTTATAATTATTCTAAAAAGGTTACGGATTTTACACATACTAATTGAGCGAAAACGTAGAAAAAAGCAACTCTCTCTCATATTTTATTTTCTCCGGGTTTAAAGTCAAGATGTTAAACTGTCGAACACATACCAATAACGCCGAAATGAATAATAGAATATTACTTTTTCTAATAAAGTTGAATTTTGAATCGAGCTGCAAGGTTTTTCTTTATTAGAGAAGCAACTGATACACAGAAAAATGTTGACCGTCAATAAAAACCCGTCAATGAAAATTAGAACAAATTCATAATGATTCTGCTGTCTTTTAACTAATTCCTCCTCGCCGCAATAAGCGATACCCAAACATCTTCACTCAAATGTCATTCTTTTTTTTATTTGAGTAAATGATAAGCAGTATAAAGAATTGATTTACCGCTCCACATTATTGTTATTAAAATCCCAGACTCTAGGGCAGTGCGAGTGATATCGCGGTTTTTGACTTTCACCCGTCACTGAACTGACATGGCTGTGCAAAGGTTTGCGCTACAATAATGAAGGATATGTCCAATATATTTGTGCAGTGCAGGGTATTAAGCGTCGAAAATGTTTCCATCTGACACTCCCCCCTAAAGACATAATCCTGACTGAAGGGTTGATAATCCAAGTTACGTGAATGTCGCGATCATACCTGAGCAGTGCATAAGGGTTGAATAATCTTCGGTTCCTTAATAAATATATATAAATATATAAAATATCAGGGTCAAATAAGTAACAAAATGCATATAAAATTGAATGTTATAATTCTATTTTTCTTTTCGGGTTTCCATATTTTCGTTTTTATCCCTTTTCGTAAAATAACCTGTTTGTATCGAACCATTAAGATAGGCGGTCATAAAAACATTTGTTTCTCGCCTCTTTAAAATTCTGTACCAGGTGGATTGGTGTTATAAAAAGAAGATACAACATTTTATAGTTGTCAAAGATTTTAATCAGTTTAACACGTTTAAACATTAAAATGAATTAAAGCCTCTATAAAATTTAATAGTTAGATATCTTCTGTTAGATTGGTTGTCAATAAATTCATTCTATAGGTGAAAGTAAGTTGAAATAACGGGTTATTGTGAAAGTAAAGACTCAATTTTTTTCTATTAACCAAAGAAAATTTTCCACGTGTTCGGAAAAAGCTTGTCAGTTAGCTACAACCTGAAATTTTGATATACATTCTAAATGAGTACTATGTTTCCGAAATGTCAACTTAAAGAGTTTTTTTCGAAGGGTTTATATAAGAGAAATGTAAATATTTACTATCCATTGGGAAGCATTGTATGTTAAGCAATATTTATCACTGTTTTAAACACACTATTTATTCCATGTAAGTAACAAAGAAAACATATTTTTTGCATATTTTTGGCTTATTACAGGCAATATTTGAATACACAAACGCTAAGCTTAAATTTGCTATAAAACTGTATGTCGGCACTTTGTTATATTTTACCTTTTTCTACTCTGAACATTTCCTTAAAAAATAATCAGCGAATCTCGAAGTGTGCTGCTACCATATTAAAGTAACAACATAATCATGTTATCTATAGTTTTTTTTCTTTCAATACCTGTTCAAAATTATGTACTTCTATTTACATGTATATCATTTTTTTTCTTTCTTTTTTTATTTTTTTTTACTAAAGTTATTTCTTTCCCATGTCGACTTATTTCCCTAGATCATAATTCTCTTACACACGAAGGAAAAAATACCACACGCACACGAAGTAACGGCAAATAAATGTCCAAAATAACCATTTAGCTACGATAACAAACTAAAACTTTTCCCGTGAACCCATCTAATAAAACTTACATTACTACTCTTCTAGTATCACACGATACGGCCAATATTAATGAAACATTTTTGAAAAGAAAAACACTGTATCTGATTGAAATTAAATTTATCCCTTTACCCCAAACTTGCTATCAAATTGATCGTTAAGATACTTTTCATCCGTTTCACCAATCCCTTTGAAATCATATGTACTTATTGATTCTAATAATTGAATATCATTTTAGATCTTTTTTGTTCTTCCCGAAATAAAACTACAAAAATAAACGGTGGACATGTTAGCAAATAATATAAAGTTTTTCTGTGGTTTTGTTTGTGTTTTTTGTAGGTTATTTCATACTACAGTTATTTGATAATGTATTTTATATAAAACTATATCATTCAAAATCTCAGATGTCTTTTAGTCAAACTAAACTTTTTTTTGTCACGGCACACGCCATGAACCCAATCAATTAAACGCTTAAAGTACACATCTATGAGCTTTTATTATACGCCAATCCCTTATTGTTTAGGGTTTTTAAGATTTTCACTAAGAATATTAATATCAAATATATTCAGGCACTAGGACCTTTTTATACGGATTCGCTTTTTCTTTAGCCGTGAAGTATGGTAGAGTATGCAAAGAAACGCATTTTGGTACTAAGCATGCTGAGACGTTTAATAATTCCGCATGAACCTAGTATGCAATATATTTTGTTGTCGACTTCGTCATAAAGATTGTGCAAACATGATATTAAAAAGCTTCAAAGACATAATTCAGGCACGTACAAAAAAGTTTTAATTTCCAATTAAGACCCATGATTGCTCCTATGAAAATCGCCGAACTGTACCTTACCTCCGACACAGCGTTAGCTTTATAGCCGTGTGCGGTGTGATAAATGAAAACTGAAAAATGCCAAATGCCAAAATAAGCAAGCAATGAAGTCCAATAACAAGGAAGCTGCAGATTTTAATCGAGATTTATTATTTTAATGCATGTGCATACTACCTTCGAAATAGAATTTTTATTACATCTCCAGGTAAAGCCCCTGCTGACATATCTTTTATTTATTGCACCTAAAACATTCGATTTGAACTTGTGGATCTTCAATTGTATTAATTAGGTGCAGGTGTCTCACTGATTGGGGAAATGAATCTTCATCAATAACTGCCTAGTTGAAATGAAAGATGAAATTCATTTAGAGCAGCCATCCAAAGCGTAATAAAAAGAATAAAACATCACTTCATTCAAGCCTACTAAAATAGATTGTCT